AAGTACATCTGAAATTATTTATAAAGCTACTAAATAGTTAAAGTATGAAAACTCAAAAACACCATTCAATATGATACAAAGTATTATCGCGCGCTAACTTTTTTTAAGACATTCAATATGGCTGACATGACTGAGCTAGCAGGTCCAAAACCTAATCAGATCTAGAATGAAGTGAGCTGAACAAGATGTTAAAGTTTTAAAAGCAACTGTGAAGCAGTTTTTCTTAAAGTTTGCAGACAAGGATTTTAGCATTTGACTTCAAAATGGCCGACAGGAAGTAGGTGTCGAGTTAAATTTTTTTCATCCACATCTATAGGTACTCATAAGTTATTCCTGAAAATTAGAAGGTGATACCTGTAGCGGTTTTGGAGAAAACTGCCGGACGTACGGACGGACAGACAGACAACCAGACAGACAGACAGACGGACGGACGGACGCGCCTAGGACGACAATATGGCCCCACACTATGTGGTGGGGACATAAAACAATATGGCCCCACACTATGTGGTGGGGACATAAAAAAGGTTAGTGAATTGAGGAATTTTAATCTATTTACATTTATTACATTATGTGAAATTACATACCATACTCGACGTAATAAGGGCCCAGACCTAGTGAGCGCCCACCCCGCTTCACAGAGTTCAAGAAATATCGAGGAATGACCAAAGAAATATAGTAGGCGATAATAGAGTACTTACACTAAAATGCAAAAAACATGACGCATTTTGTAAATAGATGCATCCTCCCGATGAATATCTATCAGTGGGTGCTTCCTACATCATATCAAGGAAATGATCACGTTTCAGAGATTTGTTTCAACATTTTACTAACTCAGCGATCCTCAAGGTCATGAACTTTCTTGTTTCTTTTTAAGATTTCTCAACTTTTACATGACATTTACACGAAAAATTTTGATCTGTCATCAAATTAAAAAAATAAGGTATAACTTTAGATCGATATCTAACAGTCTATGTGGAAATATTGAAGATAATCGCTGAAAACAATTCCTTCACCTCGAGGGGCTTTGCTGGGAGTTCTTCAATCACTGTCAATATAGTTAGATTCTTGCTTTATTTTAGCGATCTTTACTGTATTCTCTTCAATAACGATACATATCTATATTATAAAAATATGCTGTCACTTTCGTTCAATAAGGCATTTTTGGCAAGAAAACTTCCCATACATGAAATTCCCGGGGATTTTTTACTTCTTTCATCCTTTGAAATGGGTTACAATGGAATTTTTCAATTTCGAAAGCATCCTGGGCACTTATTACGCCGAATACGGTATGTTTAGAATAGTTTCTAAACTGGATTATCACATTTGAATCTGTTTATTTATTATTTTGGATATTTCCCCTTCAAAAATTCACATATAGTTCAGTCATGGAATTTTGGCAAATTCTTGGAATGTGGCGTCACTTGAACAGAGGGTGAGAATGAAGAATCTTTTTTCAAGAAAATATGTGAATTGCTTCAATGTTTTGATTCATTTTCTAATATTTCCATTACTATCGAATAGCTAAACTCCAGGCACCATGTTACATCGGAGATTCACATGAGTAAGTACACTACAGGATTTAATATACGCATTTGAATTTTTCAAGAAATCCAGCTTTTTGACAGACGAGGTTCAGACTATTTTGATAATACATGAAAATCAACTTGCACCTCATACTGTATATATATGAGGAAAGCAGGCATATTTGCACCAATCATGAATATGATAATTGCTTGATTATATTTGTTAAACATGTGTTAATTTATTGATTGTATCACAAAATTAATATTTAGCTGGATGATAAAAAAAACAATGCTGTGTACACATAGTGTTGATTCCAGGGTTGAAAATCCCTTAAAGTTGCTGATTAAAAACATTTCAGGTGATACATCCTCCAAAGCAGATCCTTAATCCTAAACCTCTTTCTTTCCCCCTGCTATAACCAATTTGGAAGCGTCCGATAAAACTGAATCACGTGATCTAATTATGCGCCAATGACGTATAGATGATTGCTGTTGCGACAGCGGATCAAATTGTGAGTTCTTAACTGCTTATCGCAGGGGGTAAAAAGAAAGAAGTATTCTGGATTTTGAAGCCCTGTGATTGGAGGATGGGATAGATAATACTGAAAATATCAAGCCAATTAGCTCCCTTTAAAAGGTTCTAACTATTCTTGAATACGTGTCATGAAACAAAAAGAGACAAAGATCTGAACAAACAAATCAACAAAATCAGTTTCCTCCACTGCACTTTATTTCCTTTACTACACTCTATTTGAAAAATATGGAAGCAAACCAGAAGAAATGAAACACAAAAATATGATCCTAAAAATGTATTTAGCTCTCTTCATTTGTCGGAATCATCATAGAACAACATAGAAATAATACATTGATAAACAAGAACATACCTTTATTTATTTTTTCACTCTAGTTGAGCTAATTTCTGCATTATTTAGCAGAAATCATTGCAAATTAAATTTTTTACCCTCATTTCATATTCTCATTTCAAGTCTAGAGCATCTCAAAGGTGATGGTAGACATTTCAAAATACTAGCGTATCTAAAGATTGAAGTGTATACCTCTGCAATTTGAGACAAACTCGACTTTTTGACTTTGAGAGATTGATTTGGTTAGTGTTTAGAATCGATTGAGGTAAGAAATATGTACATGGCTAGTGCCACAAATTTTTGACTTCTGAAATATAACGGATCAGTTGAAGGCTACGAAGACCAGAAACATAGGGATGGGATTGGAACCCGACTGGGACTTGATACGTGACTCTAGGTATGTGTTATTGCGATGTGCCATAATCGGACATTGATGCATCAGCAATTTTCAATCGGGAACAGTCTGACCGAATTTACAGCCATTATAAAATAAAGAAAATTCTGAATGCAAGAAATAAATAATAGTATGATACTTCCGGTTGGTCACATGCATAAATAAATGTACAAAATGGATGTTATTGCTTCATTTCAATAAGCGAGAACATTTTTAAAGTGATAGCATATCATTAAAGAATATTGGAAGATGAACTGAAGAATGAAAAAGCTATGGCATTTCCATGGAAACGATAAAAGAAAGGGTGATTTTAGCAGATTCATTTTTTTGTAAAAATATCAATGTTTTGTTTGAGACATTGATGCATCGTCAGAATCACTTTTGGCAATAAATACAGTATCAGGATGTATCAAATAATCACGACAACACTAGAGTCAGTACGTCTATTTCCAAACACCCCCATCAAAAAATGTAGTTAGCTTGGCTGTACTGCACATCTATGCTATGATTCTATATATATTATGTGTATTATCCACTGTAGAATGCATTTGCAGAAAAAATTACGAAAAATTGTAAAAAATATCTGGGTTATTCCATTTTTACTACAAGGTATTTTAGGGGGGTAATTCCGAACAGGAGTTTTTTTGGGGGGTAAATCCGAACACTTGCATGGGGGTAATTCCAAACACTTAACTTAAACTTAATTGTTTTAATTATTAGATTGATGGTATATCAATATATGATACCCTTAACTTATGATACTGGATCCTGTCACCCCTGCATATCAAGAAACCCAAATTTAAATCATTTATTACTGACATCTATTTATTTAAACGCACAGAGTTTGTGGGGGTAATTCCAAACACTAGCATGGGGGTAATTCCGAACACCTAAATCATCATAATTGATTATTTTATTGTAAGATTGTTGGTATACATCATTAAATTGTATCTTTCAGGCTATAAATATTATGTAGAGGTAGTAGAGGTACTATTATTCAATTCAATGATCTGCTTGCCATTATTTGGAACCCGTTTGTGTTTACCCCCCTGTTTGGATTTGGACGTATTGACTCTACTCTAGGTGACATTGAGAGATAACCAACATACAATCAAATTTTTTATTCTGTCAATCAGTTCATATGGTTAGAATAAGGAAAGAATGTGATGTAACCACGTGTCGACTTACCGGCTTGTTCTATGTCATCCATCGGACTAGGTTACATCGTTGAACGCAGCCGAACAGGACGCTGAAGGCAACAGCATATCTATCTTGATCTTAGCCGAATTTTTGGAAATTTAGATCGTCCATTTTGCAAGCTCACGTGACAGACACGTGATACATGTCTGATCACGTGACTAGTTACTGTATCGATCATGTGACTTAATCACGTGTCAATGACGTGTCACCCAATCATGTCTTCAAGGAAAACGGAAGTAAATATTTTTGAAAATGTTTTCCGAGCATTTGCTACTGATTATAGAAGGCCCAATTACGCAACGAACGAAACTGCTAAATTGTTTTCGTGCCTAACATGCGCAGCACGCAATGAAAGAAACTGCTAAATTGTATTTTTAGAGCTGTTTATTGATCTATTGATTCATAAAGACCTGTAATGATGCATTCAAATAAGACCGCCTCCTAAATGAAAACAGTACACATAAGGTGGTGAAAAAACAACGAACTAAAGTTGAAAGATCGCAACGTTCGCTACTTTGTTCAATTCCGGAAATCTCCAAGGGGCTGCAAATGGGAAATTATTTAGATTTAGATTTTATAACCTCAGAATACTGGCTTCATTGTCGTGTTTGGCTGCGTTCCACGATGTAACCTAGTCCGATGGATGACATAGAACAAGCTAGTAAGTAGACACGCGGTTACATCACATTCTTTCCTTATTCTAACCATATGAACTGATTGACAGAATAAAAAATTTGATTGTAGTCAACAAAATAACTGAAACTGAGATTCTGCAGACCAAGTTGGAATTCTGTCATTCAGTGATCAAATAAAGAAAAATAAAGGACAACTATGTTGTAGAAAAACACACCTAAACAAGATGAATACAGAATGATATCACTCAATGTTAAACATGTTTTGATTCTCCCTGGGATGTGTGGAGCTTGCAGGTCATGCTGACCTGGATTTCAAAACACATTTTCTAGGTCACCACTTCGACGCAATTTTACAGAGATGAACAAGGATAATCGCAGTACTTACCTTGAACATAGGTAAGAATAATCACTACTGTTCCTAGAAAAATGAGGTATTTGTGCAGAAACGCCATAGATATGCGTAAATCCGTGGAATATCAAGTCATTTTAAAATCCCTTTTCTCCGTTCAGAAAATAACAGTACTCAGACCTACACTCCACAGTTTCCATATTATTGTGCACTTCCGGTATGATGTAAAATCGTATTCATTAGTAATAAACCGCCTCTCTGTGATTAATTATCATATTGTATCATGAACTTATCATACATTCATGTAGGTAGTCCGCAGTGAGCGTTAGGCACTTTAGAGTACAAGTAGTAGTTTATAAATCTAAACTGTAACTGTGGTGACATTCTTAAAGGGGCACAGCTGATTTGTAGCACAATTTTAATAAACCCATTTGACTTCGTACATGCTTTATTTTATAAGTTTAATTTAATTTTGACGCCAATAAAAACTTGCATGTACTGTGAAACTTGTCTTTGTGAACACCTCTCTATAGCGAACAGCTGTCTAGGTAATGTCCCTTCTCAAAAAATACTCCACTATTATCCCGTTCCAGGACTATGGTCCTGTACGGAGCCCATACATTTGCCTGTACGATTACAACTTGGGAGAATTATCTACGCCCCTTCCACTTAAGAAACCTACCTCAATGCATTCTAGAACTCAAAATGTAACTTCTAATATATTGGAACCGCCGATTGTCTGGGTTAGTTGGCAGAACGAGGTCTTTTTGTTTCTTATGGCTCTTTTGGTCGAAGTTCAATTAAGATGGCGGTTATAACGGAATTTCCCGAACTCTTCCGTAATAGCACGAACTTGGTTTTTCGTTACGTCACTTCCGTGTAAAATGGATTTGTCACCGGTAAGAGGGAATTTCGAAAATTTCGGACAATATTTTCAATATTTACTGCCATGTCGACATCCTATGCTCTTAACTGTATACCGAATGGTTAAACAATGTTTCTTACCGGAAACAAATCCATTTTACACGAAAGTGATGTTACGAAAAACCAAGTTCGTGCTATTACGGAAGAGTTCGGGAAATTCCGTTATAACCGCCATCTTAATCGAACTTCGACCAAAAGAGCCATAAGAAACAAAAAGACCTCGTTCTGCCAACTAACCCAGACAATCGGCGGTTCCAATATATTAGAAGTTACATTTTGAGTTCTAGAATGCATTGAGGTAGGTTTCTTAAGTGGAAGGGGCGTAGATAATTCTCCCAAGTTGTAATCGTACAGGCAAATGTATGGGCTCCGTACAGGACCAAAGTCCGGGAACAGGATAACTCCACTACATCCTGTATAAAATTTACTCGAGTCTCTAGCTTACAGCTAGACGAAACTTCATTGATTTCGTATGTACTGTGCTACACGCACCTACACGCACCTAGAACTCATTTTTAATAAATTTTATAAATATTTTAAAGAATATTAATCATATTTAGGATGAAGCGTTGCTTGTCTGGATTTAGATATTTCAAAATTTCATTTCGGAGTTTGACACATGGTGAAATTTTCTCGCTGTAGCTAAAAATGGCTTCCGGTTCTGGACGTGAATAACATTTGAAATTATTCTCGCTTAAAGAAATCAAATATGACAATAGATTCAGACGGGCATGTGAGCTGATGTTCTTCAAATCTATACATAAAGGTATATTTCATATTATTATGCCATATTTACTGTGCGTGTGACACAATGATTTACAATATTTATAATACTAAGGCAGCTCAATCTTCCTCCTCAAAGCCGGAATATAGAGAAGGCTTTGGACCGAAGTAATATAAAATAGTCTCTCTTTAAGTGAAACACCTACTTCCAAAGAACACATTTTTGTGGCTCCATAGGTGTGCAATGTCCACAGGTTTTTCTGTCATTGGGTCTACATAAAGCTTTCATATAGTAATTATAGTTTATTAATCATCATATAGAATACTTAAATACAGCTTAATGTAAGCTATATTAAAGGGAGATTAGGATCTAGAGAGCAAGCTGAACAAAAAGTGTTTCTATTTTAGAATATTTTTCGCTCATATCATTCCTTATATTCTATTTTCTAAAAATCCCCAAAGTGCATATTTTGTTTCAGAAATACTGATGATTTTTACAATATTTATTCTCTTTAACCATGGTTACCATTTTATTATTTGGGAGAATTTAAACATTTTCCCCCTAACCTCACCAATTTACAACATATCACAGATCCTTTGGGAGATATTGTTTTTTGAGATTATAAGGAATGCATTGGTCACTGGCGGATCCAGGAGCTAACAAGGGGGGCCCAAATTTTGAGTCAGGAAAAGATTTTCCGCGCTTGAGCGTTTATAAAATTTTGGACCCCTTAAACCAAAAATTGGGCCCAAATTTTGAAAATATAATGCCCCTTTTTTGATAATTTGGCCTAAAAAGGCCCAATTATGCCCAAAAAGCCCGTTTTCTGATGCCCTACAAAACTTTTGGGGCCCTTAAATTTTTTCTTGGTATACAAAAAGATCCGCCAGTGTTGGTAAGTCAACTGTATACATTGCATGCAATTTTGTCACCCCTATAGGTCTGATTGTGCCTTTGTTTATTTCAAAGATCAGTCTGTGCCTCTTTATTTTTATTTGATACAAATATTCAATTGGCAATGTCAGTTGCTTTTTTGACTTCATCAAACAAGACTTCATTTGTTCTCATTAATGGTACCCAAAGTATTATTCCACATGTACCCCACAGAACGTAGATATAGGATTGGAACTAGATAAGAAGTGTTGACTTATTGGTATAGCTATGGGCTTTCTCTTATTATACTACTGCCACCATTTTTTGTGACCGGCATTTGACATCAGCATTTTGCGTAGATGTCTGTCAATGATTGTAACAAATAGTTTGTAATTGCATGTAAGTTTATGCTTTGTTTGAACTGTGTTTGTGTTTTTTTTTTTATTTGTTTGTTAATTTCTTTAGTTAGCGGGATTAGTTTGTTTGATAAAGCTACTTGTTGCACCATTTTATAATATAAACATTTTGATAATCTTGTCAGTACTACTACTGTCGCTTTATCAGCTTACCCCTATTATGACAATTTTCTTTAAATTAAATTGACCATGTCTATTGTCTCTTTTCTTATGAGACTACTGCAGAACTTGCCAAAACCAACAAGTAAACCAAATTAAGAACTGTTACATTGAGTTTCATAGACTTTTGGCAATCAACTTTGGCTAGTAGCATAAAATATTGGCTTGGTTTCAGGGAAACTAGATTTATAGTAAAGTGACTACATATTACATACAATTGATAATCGGATCATAATATAGTTAAGTTGTCTGGATGTCTATTCTGTTATGCAGCACTTCAGTTCATCTTTTTTTAGTTATAAAAATAAACATAACAGTTCATATAATATCAACCTTCTTTTCTTACAGTCTGGCTTGAAAAGTGAGATTCAAGAAAAAGAAAGCTGATATCCAATACTTAGATATCCTGGGGCCCAGAGGCAAAAAAGTAATGTAGATGACAATCTCTTTTAAAGAACTGAAATTAAATTATTGAAAATAATACCACTTTGAAGTCAAGGTTAAGTTATACCATTTGGTGGAACGTAAACTTGAACATGAAATATTATGACCCCATGGGATCACTGTTTCCTTTCAAGTGAGTTAAACAGGAACTTAATCACAACTATTTTTAATACCTTCATCCTCAATTGGGCAAATAAATGCCAGCAGCCAGCGTGGAAATAGTCCCAAATAGAGACCAAAATCTTGCATGTTTTCTGTTCACATTCTTCAAAACAGTGCAAACTTAATCTCCTTTATGCTAGGTTGTTTATATGGTTTTCTTTCATGGGCAGGTATGAATTACATGTTTATATTTCCTCCTTCAAGTACCTGTTAAGCATTACACTAACAGTGCACTATATGTTATTTTCTTCTTGACATGTACACATTACATACTGTATTTTTAAAAAGGCACAGCCTTGTGAATTTAAAGATCACTCAGTCATAAGGGAAAATTAAACAAAATATGTTTTTCAAAAAATAAACTGGTTACATGTTATGATAAAACTGGATCTCCATTCACTTAATGGTTATATGAAGAGTAGTTTACACCTAAAGGTGTTTCGTAAACAATATTTAAATGTTATGTGACATATTTTTGTTCCTCATGTGACCATGAAGTTGTGAACTGCCCCATGTGACCAGTTCCAGTCTACTGAATCATGACATCATTGGCCAAAGATGTTTTTTATTTGTTTACACAACAATTGTGCGGTTGCTTTCTATTAATTTTTCTATAATAGGGAACTCTTAAGTTAGGCTTACAATGCAGCAGGTTGAAAAAGTGTAAATTTTATTTGTGTTTTATTAATACTGGCAGTTGCTAACTTTTTCTAGCTTTTACAAGAAAGTAAAACACATTTTAAAGGCTTACAGTATATTATTTGTGTACCTTACTGTACACATATAAGGTACAACTACTGTGGGCATTTTTCAAAAAGCAATTTTTACCATTCAAGTTATACATAAAGTTTAAAGTGCATCATTATCTCTTTTGCGTGGTTTTAGAGTTTATGTATTTTCTGTTCTAATCATTTTGTTGCTTGGTTACAAACACAACAGTCATATGGCCCGTTTTCCTTTACTGCACTCAGCTTTAATTTGCCATTATTTGATATGGCGAATTTGCCATTTAGACTTTTTTGGTAACTTTCAATATGGTGGGTCATCAGACATGCCAGAAATCTTTTTTAAATACAATATCCAGCCAATTTGGAAATCTATGTGACCTGATGACACACTGTGATGACAGTAAAGATTCAGTAAAGAAGTCATCCTTTTACCAATTTAGCAAGACACCTTGATTCTTTAGTTCATCCTCCAATGTCAAATTGAAAGCGGCCACATCTGTACATGCACGAGCGCACTTGGAAATGATGGAGAAAAATGGGAAAAAGATAGTGGTTAACACAGCATAAAGGTTAAAGTAATAATTGTAATCACTAACGCTACATACATGTATATAAAATTCAAAATGTGTTTTTATTATAAAAAAATATATGATTTTGTGTAAAACATTCACCACGCAAAGTGGATTCAAAACTAAAATCTACATAATGTGGCAGATCTTTAATTCATCAGATTGCCATTCTCAGCCTTTCAGGACTAAATTATTTAAAAACTGCAAATTGCATTTATATCTTTTACAATATCATCATATCCCATAGGACAAGGATAAATCAAGGAGAACTTCAATATCTTGTGTGATAGCTTGTATTTTTCACTCAGTGCAAACACACATACTTGCTTACTGTGTTCAAAGGGTGAGATAGATCGTACATCATGCAAAGAGGGTGCTATCAGCAATAAACCTACATGGAATGAACAAAGAAGCACAACGTATTGTAACGCCCTCAGATAGATTGTATACAGTAAAACCTGTCTAAGTGAAACACCTTTGGTGGTATCTCTTATAAAAGTGTTCCACTTTAGGAAGTATTCCACTTATAGAGGTTCATTTAACACTAAATAAGATGGTCTTTGGACTCTGAGTGTTCACTAACAGAGGTGTTCCACTTCTAGAGGTGTCCAGCTTGACAGATTTCACTGTTGTTTTCCCCCTCAAACAAAATATCACCCCCCCTCAAATCAAAATATCACCCCCCCCCTATAGCGTGAATAGCACATTGAGTAACTTTGGAGCTAAATGTCTCAAAAACAACAAAATAATTTATTCAATGGTTTCTAGTGATCTGTCCTATGTGATATATCTTATATGCTCATGTCATGGGATACAAACTCCGTATTAGACTCTTGTCACTGTATCCCACCCTTTGACATCATTTTCTGTTGAAATACAACTTAAAACATCATACTATTAAATAAATTAGTTATACACTTTTTTTTATAAAATCTAGAAAACATTAGGCTTTCAAAAGATGTATTTAGTAGACTTTCTTAGGCAAAATATATTCTGTATTTTACACAAGTTATTGATAACTTATTTCAGGATTCCAGTAATTGGGTGATACTTATATGACAATCAAATACTTTTAAATACATCATTTAATAAAATATGGATTGACGATTGTTGTATCAAGGGACTTCTTACAATGCTTAGATCCAAACTACTGTAAATTGTATCAATTGAATAATTATGCTAACAACAATGCTAATTAGGGGCTCATATGGTAGCCAAAGGTGGGCCCGTCAGTGAGCAAATTTGAACCAAATTATTTATCTCGGGAAACATGTCAGATTTAATGATTTGGAACTTTGACGCCCAAAAAGCGACCATTATGGATAGCTTTTCTAGGTTTTATACCCCCCAAGGTTATTTTCGAGGGGGTCTCAACTCTTTCTTAATAACTTTAAAAATATTAAAGATATGTGTCTGAAACTTGCAGGGTACCTTCCTGGGGTCAACACATAGTTGTATTGAAAGTTTAGGATTATTTGAAATAATGGTTGCTATAGCAACCAAGAAAATGTGTTTCCGAACTGGCAATTTACAGCAATTTTGGCCTGTAGCAACCTGGTTGAAGTTAGATATTTTTTCTATTGATGAATTTTCACATTGTTAATTGGTTTCAAAAACACACTACAACTGTATTCTTTCATTTTATTGCAGATTAGAATTGACACCATTAGTATTAAAGGTCCATAATCGTACATGAATGAACCCATCCCCAAAGTCTATAAAAAGTGGGCGTGGCACCAGACGTGTACCAGTTTGTAATTCATAAGTTTAAACACCCAATAAATAATGTTGATATTTATGTTACCATGTTTCCAGTGGTAGTTGAAGAAGTTCTTTTAAAAAACTAGATATATTACCATGGAAACCATATATTTATGTTGCCATAGCAACAGAACTATGGTAATGAAATAGCCAATAATTTGATCGAAGCCCTCATGCATGTGGTTCCATATATACAAAAATCAAATGTCCTGTATCTCTCAAAGATCTTAAAACCTTCCTGGGGTCAAAAAGAGCTGTATTGAAACTTTGGGATTATTTGGAGTAATGGTTGCTATAGCAACCAAGAAAATGTGTTTCCAAGCTGGACAATTTATGGCAATTTTGCCCCACTGCAACTTGGTTGGAGTTTGATATTTGTTCTAGTGATGAATTTTCACATTGATAATTGGTTTCTAAAACACACTACAACTGTATTCTTTTATTTTATTGCACATTAGAATGACACCATTAGTCTGAAAGGTCCATAATCATACATGAATGAACCAACCCCCCCCCCCCCCCCAAAGTCTGCAAGAAGTGGGTGTGGCACCAGACATGTACCACTTTGTCATTCATGAGTATAAAAACCCAAGAAATAATGTTGATATTTATGTTACCATGTTTCCAGTGGTAGTTGAAGAAGTTCTCCTAAAAATATAATCATATAATAAATATATATATATATAATATCATATATAAATATATTATCAAGGAAACCATACATTTATGTTGCCATAGAAACAACCTTGGTCTGTTAACACAAGGCTTAATGAAATTATTGTTCATTTGACTATTCATTTGGCCATTTAGAGAAAACAACAAATGTATGAGTAAACTATATTGGCTGAATATATATCCTAGTAGTTTACATTCTTTGTAGTTCATATTTGTATGAGCTACTATTCTAGTATATCTGACACATCTTTATTCTTTAGTGATACTTTTACATTTGCTTGCAGAAAGTGATATGTGATAGGCCCCAGAGTGATGGCACTCAGAAGACTGCATATGATATCAAATGAAGCTTGAAAAAGAGACGAGTAATACAGCATACTATGACCCTGTCATTTAATCAACAGATGAAGCAGTAAAGTTCTTAAACCAGTCTATTTCATTTCTCCTCAGTCCTTTGTGAAAACTTCACCCATATAATTTTGAAGCTCCTATGTGGGTTCTGACTCTTCCGGATCTGTCATAGCTGGCCTCATCACATCAACAAGATCTTGTCGTAATATATTTGATGTGCACCAGTCTAGTTCTAGTTTCAGTTGTAATATTTGTACATGACCCAATACATTAATTGAATGCATCTTGGTATTTCTGGCTATTGATTCATTGGCTTTGCTTTGAAGGTTTCTCTGAGATCATCATTGAAGCTGGCATATGCTAGTGGATCTCTTGAAGGTGTTCTTACTGGAAACCATTATAACAGATCAATCAGAGTGCCCAAAATCTTCCTGGAGTTGCTACAAAGGAATTTGTAAGACAAGTTTATAAGCCAGCTACCAATCCCCATGCTCTCACAAGAGGTCATTGTCATGTAATATCACGATTCATCTGATCTAGGAGAGAATGATTTTGACCTCCACTTACTCTTTCTAGTGTCTACAAGACCTATGTCCACTATTTTGCAATGGACCAGCCCAACTATGCTATATATATAACAGCACAATATATCATGCTTGCTAACCTCAAGCATACAAACCAAGAGAAAGAAAGGCTATTGAGAGACATTGGGTTTAGTGTTAACAGGTCCCAAGTACCTGCACTACATTTGCCAGTTGATCAAACCACTGAACAGACTATCAATCAGAGTGCGAAATCTGAGGGTGTGGGTAATTGGATTTATCACCAATCCAAATGCCTACTATTGTGCAAACATAGCAGGCTCTGAAGGTGTTTCAAAAGCAAGGGCCGCAATAGGTAACTTTTTTAGACCCCCTTGAGACAGGTGCTATGATCAACTTTACTGCTATGATCAACTCTATCATCAGGAATGCGGCCTGTTCCAGATGTAGCTCAAGACCTACTGCATGTCAGGTCCAAAGGCAAGGTGGAATTTGATTAAAGACTTGTGAGTGACACCAAAAGTTTTCAAGATCCAGAGAAAAGAATAAAGATGAAGACATTTGTGACAATCGAGAAGGACATCCTGAAAACATCTGACAACAAGTTTAGAGGAATATTTTTTGACAGTTAGTTCTTATATCTCAAGAGAACAAGAAAGTTTTAGAGTATCTGCTTAGTCCAGTGCCATGGGCGCTAGGGTCTCCTGATGGTCTGCCAGCGAAGGCAGCAAAAGCAACACTCCCAAATACTCTTGAGAATCTCCAACATCATCCTTCAAGACCAGCAAAAGATGAATCATTCTACATATATGATGGTAATGCTATCTATCACAGCTTAGTGCAGCGTCTATCCACCTTTGAAGAACTGGCAGAGCAAGTGTTTGACATGCTACCACTGAAGTCAGAGAGGGTAGATTTCTTAACTGACAGCTATCAAATACATAGATTCAATAGAAGAACCAGAGAGAATGAGAAGAGGAAAATCAAAACCCTTCATGATCCAAGGACCAAATCCCTAAGAATTGGTAAGAATTTTTGAGCAACAGCCAAAACAAGACCCAACTAAACAGTCTTATCCTTTGCGAGTGGCAAACAGATAAGTACTCAGCCAAGCTGAAGAACAGAAAAGTATGCTTTACATGTGGGAATACATGCACAATTTTCACTAGTGATGGTCTAAATGTCTGATCATATGTTGATAACAATCTACTGTCAACACAAGAAGAAGCAAACACCAAGATGAATACATGTGAATACGTTTTGATCAGTCAAAGAACATTATTGTACATTCCCCAGACACAGATTTTCTAGTCTTGATGATACACCATTCTCACAGGTTGTTATTGTGTTAGTGCATTTGTTCAACGAGGAAAAAACAGGCCCCCAACTCTGCTATGAAATAGCCAGAAATACCAAGATGCATTCAATTAATGTATTGGGTCATCTACAAATATTACAACTGAAACACAGGCTGTAATTGAAGAGTTTGTGTGCAACACAAGCCTGAACTCTCATCTCCCAGAGGCAATGGGTTGAAATCTTGTGTACAAGAACTAGACTGGTGCATATCAAATATATTACGACAAGATCTTGTTGATGTGATGAGGCCAGCTATGACAGATCCGGAAGAGACAGAACCCACATATGAGCTTCAAAATTATATAGGTGAAGTTTCACAAAGGACTGAGGAGAACTGAAATAGACTGGTTTAAGAACTTTACAGCTTCATCTGTTGGTTAAATGACAGGGTCATATGCTGTATTACTTATCTGTTTTTCAAGCTTCATTTGATATCATATGCAGTCTTCTGAGTGCCATCACTCTGGGGCCTATCACATATCACGTTCTGCAAGCAAATGTAAAAGTATCACTATAGAATAGAGATGTGTCAGATATACTAGAATAGTAGCTCATACAAATGTGAACTACAAAGAATGTAAACTACTAGGATATATATTCTGCCAAATGAACAATAATTTCAGTAAGCCTTGCGTTAACAGACCAAAGTTGTTTCTATGGCAACATAAATGTATGGTTTCCATGATAATATATTTTTATATGATATTATATATATATATATTTATTATATGATTATATTTTTAGGAGAACTTCTTCAACTACCACTGGAAACATGGTAACATAGATATTTACATTATTTATTGGGTTTTTATACTCATGAATTACAAAGTGGTACATGTCTGGTGCCACACCCACTTCTTATAGACGGGGGGGGGGGGGGTTCATTCATGTATGATTATGGACCATTCATACTAATGGTGTCATTCTAATCTGCAATAAAATGAAAGAATACAGTTGTAGTGTGTTTTAGAAACCAATTATCAATGTGAAAATTCATCACTAGAAAAAATATCAAACTCCAACCAAGTTGCAGTGGGGCAAAAATTGCCATAAATTGTCCAGCTCGGAAACACATTTTCTTGGTTGCTATAGCCACCATTACTCCAAATAATCCCAAAGTTTCAATACAGCTCTGTGTTGACCCCAGGAAGGTTTTAAGATCTTTGAGAGATACAGGACATTTGATTTTTGTATATATGGAACCACATGCATGAGGGCTTCAATCAAATTATTGGCTATTTCATTACCATAGTTCTGTTGCTATGGCAACATAAATATATGGTTTCCATGGTAATATATCTAGTTTTTTAAAAGAACTTCTTCAACTACCACTGGAAACATGGTAACATAAATATCAACATTATTTATTGGGTGTTTAAACTTATGAATTACAAACTGGTACATGTCTGGTGCCACGCCCACTTTTTATAGACTTTGGGGGTTGGGTTCATTCATGTACGATTATGGACCTTTAATACTAATGGTGTCAATTCTTATCTGCAATAAAATGAAAGAATACAGTTGTAGTGTGTTTTTGAAACCAATTAACAATGTGAAAATTCATCAATAGAAAAAATATCTAACTTCAACCAGGTTGCTACAGGCCAAAATTGCTGTAAATTGCCAGTTCGGAAACACATTTTCTGGGTTGCTATAGCAACCATTATTTCAAATAATCCTAAACTTTCAATAAAGCTATGTGTTGACCCCAGGAAGGTACCCTGCAAGTTTCAGACACATATCTTTAATATTTTTAAAGTTATTAAGAAAGAGTTGAGACCCCCTCGAAAATAACCTCGGGGGGTATAAAACCTAGAAAAGCTATCCATAATGGTCGCTTTTTGGGCGTCAAAGTTCCAAATCATTAAATCTGACATGTTTCCCAAGATGAATAATGTGGTTCAAATTTGCTCACTGACGGGCCCACCTTTGGCTACCATATGAGCCCCTAAATGGTATTGTGTTTTTTCCAAAGTGCCAAAATGTATTGTAATATAAAACCAACTGTTTATTCATTATGCAAGAGAAAATGAGGCAATTTTTCAGAGTTTATATCAAAAGCATATGGTTTGATGCATAACAATCAATATTCAAGTTGAATATTGAAAGAAACAAGGATTTCTCCGTTCATAACTAACACCCATGGGTATTCTTTTGAGAGATATTTCAGTTTAAAACACCCATGGGTGCTATAATGAGTGAATCTCATTATATGAATCTCCAGAGCAAGAAGCTTCAGCAAGAACAAATAGATTTGACAGACAGCGACCTCACTATATCCCTTCAAATACGCTCAGACATGTACATATTAGTTTCATGGAAATCAAAACCCATTAAAAATGTAGTCTCTTATACAGGCCCAATAGGCTCTATCTAGCTCTATTAAAATCAACCCAAAAATCTGAATTTCCATCAGAGACAATTATAATAACATCATTTTTATATGCCTCTACTTTATTTGATAAATTATTGGTAAAAATACCATTTTTGGCAAAATTTGCAATCTTGTAATAACCCCACCCCTACAAAAATGCATTTTTAATTAAAACCCTCCTAGCAATCACATTTTTGTATCGAATCATCTATTCATCCCACCATTCAGTTTGTTCATATTTCGTTCCAGGGTTCGAATGTGGGCTTTCCGAACTAATATTCATTTTCTCAAAAGATTCCTCAAAGCTTTGAGCATCACTTGATATCAAGCCATCGATGAGTAAGTCAGATGCATTGAGCATTTTCAATTGATTCTCTATAGATTTAGAATGAAGCAAATCGATCTGTTCATCTTGATAGTTTGTCTTCTGGAATATGACATTGCCGTCTGCTACCCATAATCCTCTCTGTTTCAAAATGGAGGTTGTGTCTGATATAGTGTCAAAATTGAGCATGTGACAAAGTTTTTCCACTGGGAATTTCAATGTTTTACTGCTGTAGGCAACTGACATTATCCCTAATGCTCTCCTGGAAATATATGTATATTATATATATTGTACATCAATTATAATGCAAATTGACTAAGATTTTTAGCTTCAACTTTTAAATATTCTCTTTATTTTAACCTCTTGAATCTCAGGTTCTAAAATCAGTTGAAACCAGAGAATTTTTTATTTTGCCAGCTTTTGACACTTAACTTCATACATATACAACAAGTGATGCTCATCTTAGTAAAATTAGATGGCAGAGATCATTTTTGCACATTCTAAAACAATTTTTGTGTAAACTGGATGAAAATTGTTCAAATAAGAGTAATTTTAGGAAAATCTTTTGTGACAGATTATCTTGTCACTTTGGGTTTCACAGTCATTTAGAAGGTGATCATCATTCTGGGTAGTCAAGAGGTTAAAATGGTGGTGTAAATTACAAGTCAAAATGGAATAAAAATTACAGCCACTATCCTTCTAATAGCAATTACTGTATCACATTACTACTCTCATAATAGTAAATATTGTTAGTACCTCAGTGTAAATACTCGCATCTGATTGGTCAATTAGCGGTCAACATTTTTGCCTGTACCTCACTTGTGCATCATGGGATATCATATTATTGACCGCGTATGTAACTGTACTACACTTGTGAATTATGGGAAATATGACGTCACAATGTTTACAGAAAAAAACATGGTAGTCGGACATTTTGTACACGTTGATGAAAGTGATATTTTGACTTTTCTACAAGACGAGTATAGCAACAATACAAATAGAAACGCAAAATTAACATTAATTTACAAGTGAGTACGCAGTTATGTGCCGAAAACAGAGAGTTTAGCTTCCACTGTCTTCAGATTTTCTCAAAAATTATTGCTGGCGTGGTTCGTAGAAAAGATTGTGAAATGAAGCCATGATTGATGACTGTCGTATATATGAGTATTATTAGTTTCTTCTGACTAACAAAACAATTGTAGACCTCTCCATTCGGTCAACCGTCAAAATCATATACCTCGACTGTAAACCTTGAAACACTGTTGACCTCGACCTTCGGTCTCTGTCAACAGTAGTTTCTCGGTTTACAGTCTCGGTATACAATTTTGACGGTTGACCTCTGGAGAAGTCAACAATTGTATACTGTACCCAATATCTTCGCTAAATAAAGGATATGTAACAAAATCAAGAAGTTAAAACATAAGAGTTATGTTTACAAATCTGCTCCTGGGTACACATGAAGATTAAAAAATAATTTATGTATTCCTCAATCATTTCCATCCAATTACTTGTGTTTTCATCCATGTCCGAAACTTCAGATAAAAATTCATCTTATCTTATCTATACACTATTTGAATTGCTAAAAATCGTTATTACCTTTGAACTTCAGCTGTATGTCTGTGTACTGCACATCTTAGAATAACAGGCAATAAACGCACCATTTTACAGAACCTAGCGTAATTACCATCTTGGTACGCTCTGCTGATCTCAAGAGACCTATTTAGCCATTTACTGCACCTAAATGTAAAACATTTATTTATTTGTATTTATAAAGCTAGCCAGAATGGAGTTTCTGATCCTCTTGAAGTTAACAAGGGGCTCCAAAATTTATTTTCAAAACTCATGGAGAAATTGACCCATTTTTTCTCAAAATGAGGCATATTTTTTAAAATGGTCCAAAATGAAAATGAGGCCCATTTTTATGGCGAAAATGAAAATGTTGCACAAATTTTTGAATTTCAAGGTAGGAGATATGTCAGTGAATCACTCTACTTTTGAGTAAAAGTTTTAGAATCAATTTAATCATCTATATCTGCAGGCCCGTAGCCAGGATTTGCCAAGGGGGTGTTCAGTTTTCAAAAATTTCCGAACCCTGCGAACCCCATTGCTAACTTACTATTTGTTTACCCCATCGCTAACCTTAATGATTAAAGGTATAAATACAATGTGGTTTTGAAAAAGCAAAATAAAGTTTGACAGCCTACTGATAAAAATGTATAGTACACTGTAGGTCACATTTTGTGCCACATCATAAATGATGTTATTTAAGTAGTTTATGGTTATCCTACTGTAGTGGTTAAAAAAGATCAAATGGCTGATAAGTTTTTGGGTCAAGCCCTCTTTTCAGTAAATAAATATTCAAAGTTCAATGATGATTGTAAAACTGAATTTTGAAATTGTTTTTTCTATCCACCCATTATTAAATATTGCATATTTGATCATAAATCGTTGTTAGTTAGTTGGTGAAAATCAAACAATATAGAACCCAAGTGTGTAGTAAAAAGTCTGTGATTGTCCCTTTAAACCATTCACCATCAAGGTTACGAAACAAAATTGAAGTCTTCTCAAGCCTAGTTTAAAGGGTCTATATTTAGAGAAAGTAGTTCCCCTATTCAAACCCTTGGCTTACTTTTGTCTGTAAATCTATCCAAGATATAGGAAATGAAATTAACAGCGAGAAGGTGGCCTAGATTTATGGTATTTTTACTTCTTGTTTATCTGTAAAACCTACTGTTTTTCAGTTCATCCACTGTGGAGTTTGTTACGTTTTGTGATTAAATATTGGGAAGGAAAACAAAAACATTGCTCAAATATAAGTAGAACCTACAGAGTGAAATCTGTCAATGTTAGAGCTTTTGATGTTGGAAAATAGGTTAATTAAGTATAAACATTGAACTTGAAGGTTGAAGTACAAATAGAAGTACAGGTTTTTTAGAATACTGTACAGTACTTCATTTTGATATACATTTCCAAGAGAGATTGAGTCCCTATTAACAGTTCCTATTAAAAGCACTAAACAACAACATCTCTTTTTGAATAATTTTACAATGCTGCTAATTTTGGCAGTTTCTTTGTAAAAATCATGATTTGGGCATAAAAAGGATGCAGGCATATTGCATTGGATTCCTTGTGTTTTTAGATATTTCTAGGCATTAAAAATGAAGATGTTTTGGGGTTAATGTCACAAAATTCACCTTTAATATGATGATACATGTATTCAAATTAGCTAAAAACATGTACTGTATTCTCTCTAATAGTCTCCCAAATTCTCCTGGAGGAGATGTCTCAAATTGCAAAATCCCCAGGGATTTTTGAATGGTACATATATGTGGGTGATAGTAGGGTATCCCATGATTTTCCTCCTTAAAAACTGGACTCACTCCAACTAGACCTCAATGTTTTCTTCATGCATTTATCGATCGGCTGATTATGTTTTTGTAGGTTCATATATTAAGCGTCAATATCATTGCAATTATTCACTCAAGTTTCTTCCTGATTGGGCTGCCATTTTGGAAATTACGGCGATATCTGAGTCAAAATCTTGAGACTACCTGTCAATGACTGGTCTTCATAGTCGGAGAAAATAGGTTTTATATCCATATAATAATACTACTTAACGTTTATAAAGGAATATAAAGGAATGTTTGTTTGTGGGAAAAGGTGTGGAAATATTTTTTTTGATTGGAAACTCCCATGATGCACTTCAAGTGTTTAATGCAGATGATTCAGAATTGATGTTCATTATAGCTTTTAACTCATCACTTTCAGGTTATCATGAATGTACTCATAGTTCTTAAGATTTCGGAGACATGTCTGTAACAGCATTGTGCACACAGATTGCTATATTGATAGAGGTAAGTGAATTATTCAATAATAACCCTATTATTGCCCAGTTAATTTTTCGAATATGTTTTATTTTTTTATTACTCAAGTTGCCAGTCTTTCTTGGAAAAGTCGGGCATGCATTTATTGGAGTGTGTGCCTCTATTAGAGAGAATATGGTATCTGGTTTATATAGAAGTATCCTGGAATACCACCCCAAATAGTACAATAATGAATGTCATATATTGAATTATTTTCCTTACAGAAATACTTCGATTTTTCTCATATGCGCAACTAAGATTAGAACCTTGAAACTGTATTTTCATATTTCAATAGTCATAATTAATCTATAATAATGAAAAACACATACCCAAGGTATGATATTTTTCTTATAAGATCTAATGCGTGTCCAATATCTTAATTATATTCCATAGTTTTGCTAATCATCAATGAAAGTGGTTCAGAACAATGAAGCACTATATCAATTACTTTATATACAATGTCATATCACAGACTTACAACATAGGAAGTTTAAATCTGTGTTTTATCAATATCACACATGGAAAGGTCTTAAATAGTGGTTCTGTACAAACCTTATCTTATTCTTTATGTCCAATGCATGCAACAATGCCTCGGAGTTCCCAATGTTGTGTAAAACATATATGCTCTCAAATTCATCTCTGTTGCTATGGTAACAAACTGTGTCTCCATGGTAATTTTGTTGCGTAACATTGTTGTCATATAACACTAAAAGTCTCTTCATGCATTCTTGTGTATGAGTGTTATTTATCTTCTGGTCAAACCTAGCAAGAGGTTCTGTGCATAATCTATAATGAATAACGCAATATTACATTCAAATAATTTGGACATTTCTATTTTCGACATCTTATTTCAATAATTTCTATTTTTGATTGGATATTTCAAATCTTCAATAACTTCTCTAATCTATATTTGATTAGACCTCTCAATGCTTAGTCTAGCTACAAGCCTTTGTGCCCCCGCCCCCCACTACAAGAGAAGCATTTCAAAGATTGCTTTCAAAATTTAACATACGCTAGTCAATGCTGCAGCCTGATTGGTATAATTTATAGAGTTCAGCTTTGCATCTCGAAATGTTTTTCTATTCAATCCCTACTCTCTGGCAATCTTCGCACCTGATTTATTTTGAACAAAAGAACATTTTTGATAACTGTTTTTTAAAGTTTTTTAAAGTTAAAGTTTAAAGATAACTGTTTTTTAAATAGAAAAAACAAACCTGTAGGCTGCATATATGTGGAACCTTATTGCAACTTCGAGAATTCTGATAGCTTCCACGCCTCCAATACTTTGCATCACCATATCTTGCCTCACAGCTCGCAATCGATCGAACACATAATCGTAAACATCCTTCCAGGCACAACTGCTTATAGGCACAACCCTAAGGGGAAGATTAAACACATAATCATAAACATCCTTCCAGGCACAACTGCTTATAGGCACAACCCTAAAGGGAAGATTAAACACATAATCAAAAACATCCTTCCAGGCACAACTGCTTATAGGCACAACCCTAAAGGGAAGATTAAACACATAATCAAAAACATCCTTCCAGGCACAACTGCTTATAGGTTCAACCTAAAGGGAAGATTAAACATGTAATCATAAACATCCTTCCAGGCACAACTGCTTATAGGCACAACCCTAAGGGGAAGATTAAACACATAATCATAAACATCCTTCCAGGCACAACTGCTTATAGGCACAACCCTAAAGGGAAGATTAAACACATAATCAAAAACATCCTTCCAGGCACAACTGCTTATAGGCACAACCCTAAAGGGAAGATTAAACACATAATCAAAAACATCCTTCCAGGCACAACTGCTTATAGGTTCAACCTAAAGGGAAGATTAAACATGTAATCATAAACATCCTTCCAGGCACAACTGCTTATAGGCACAACCCTAAAGGGAAGATCAAACACAAATTCTTATGATCATAAACATGGAGTGGGATAAGAACAATGTAACGTAGGAACAATATAATGTAGAACATTCAACCGGAAAGCGAGGGGTCGTGGGTTCAATCCCCACCAGGGTGGACTGACTTTTCAGCATCAGCCCTTCAACCCACAGGATTTCATTCTTTGTTTTCACTGACCAATGTAAGATTTTGTTAAATCAGAAAACATTGGTCAGTATGAGTCTTGAGAAAAAAATTACTTTCATAAAATTTCAAAAATATTAGTCCCTAACCTATCCATGAGAAAGTTGACAGTCTTCAAGAGAACATCAGGAGGTCTCAACTCTGACTGCGATGGCTCTGCTTTCCCTGCTGCGGGTCTACTGTACTCCTTCACCATCCACTCTCTACTGGCTCTAGGTCTGAATGTAAAGAATTTGCACATATTTATTATGAAAGTTATTCAACAGACAACAGCTGAAGAAGAACAAAGATGATTTTGTTAGGGGTGGAGGTAAATAATAATTCTACAGAGTATATAATGAGTTTTTTGACTATAACAGTGTTTTCCATCAAATATTTATCATGGGGAGTAAGTCACCCCCTCCCAGTCTTAATACAGATAATATAAGAAGGGGACGGGTGACTTACTCCCGTGATGTTTATATAGCTTGCATCATTTTCAGTAAGTTCACTAAAAGTACAAACATATATTCATGAAAAAATGTGGCAAGAATATAGTCTGCCTATAAGTTGAAACTAGAGCTGTCGATGGTTAACGGTTAACTGCTGATAGTAGCTTACTCGAGTAAGAAAGGACGATTCTCGGTTTGGAGAACAGTCTCCTGGGCTAATAATTTTTTTCATGAAAAATATAGAAAAATTACCCAAATTAAACTATGAATATTCAAAAGAGGACATTTAAATCTACAAGATGTAAAGATAACAAATTGGTCTGAAGCAGGGATAATGCTCAAATAGACCGATTCAATATAAATACAAGTCTCGATTCGGGGAAAGAAGTCCATCAGTGTACTGAGCTAATATTTTTTTGCGAAAAATCTAGAAATATTACCCAAATTAAATTATGACTATTCAAAAGAAGACATTCAAATCTTTATTATGTAAAAAAAATCAAATTTGTCCGAAGCAGGGATAATGCTCATTTAGATTGATGAACTTCGTTCTCCAAACCGAGAATCGTCCTTTTCACTTAAAGTAGTTGACCGTGGATACCTAATCCTATTTTGTGTTATTGATTTCTTTTTTTCACAGATGTCAGAGTCTCAATTCAAGCTCAATTGATGACATTAGCTTGATATTTTCAGCGCTGAAAATAAATCCCTCATAATTAACCAATCAGCAGCAAGAATCAGATCAAGCTAGGCTACTCACAGACTCACACTTCACATAATTCCTGCCAAAAACGCAATCAGAATCATTTTAATCCTTTAGAATTTACCATGCTCACTATTTCCAAGTGTCAGCCATCTCACGTGTCAGATAATTACTACCTAATTAGAAAAATGTTAAATCCTTATGTTATTTTCCTCCAAAGTATATGTGTCAGTTTTGATTTTAATATTTGACTTTAAGATGGACATGACCGGGAGATACAATCATGAAATTATATTCATCATTCGATTGTTCCTTTTGTTAGTACTTCCATGTCAAAGGTCATAGCCTCGCTGTGATATTGTGAAACCAAATTACAAACAAACGTTTAAAGGATAACCAAGGTGGTATGTAATTGAAAGGTAGGGTAAATGTGAAATCAATACAACAAACCTTGGCAATTTTGAGAAATAAACACCTATTGATCATTTTTCACATCATTCAAATCCGATAAAAAATTTTATTTATTTTTTCAAAAACCTTCTGAAATCATCAAGTACAGTGCTCACCATAAATAAATGACACCTGCATTTGCTGAAGTGAGGATTTCCCATGTTAAAAAGTAGAGAATTTTTAAGAGGCTATACATCAGTGGATGAGAGTATACAAAATGTAAAATATACAAAACTTAGGGATGTGTATCTCGACATTATTGGGAAGTATGAAGTCTCAAATCACCATGGTCTGGAAATGGTGATATAAAATCCAGGTGTCATTCATTTATGGTGAGCACTATAATTCTTTCTGTCAGTTAACCGACTTTAACCGTCAAATCTTCAGTTAATCGAGCAATGTTTTTGGCTGTAAATTGACACCACTGGTTGAAACAATGCACACTGGTCACTGGTTGAAACAATGCACAGAATAAAGTTGCAGTTATTAAATATATATAAGTTTCATAGAGTATATCTTTACCACGTTTTTTGAGTATAAAGTATACCTGGTATGATACAATCTCATGCAAAATGTCACCACCTGGCATTTGTTATAGACACCGAAAGCCGAACAAAACTACCAAACACCAACCACTGTCTACAAAAAACTTGGAGACTATAACAATATGTCACCAGTTACCACTTCTGGTGATTACATAATAATGAGAGCACAATCGGTTCTCAAGTATATTCAAGTTACCTTTTATGATGACGTGTCTCAGGTACCATTTCAAAAGGGTGTAATAATCCATGTTTCTCCCTCCTGAAATAAGTTTAAAAATTACAACAATTTGGAAATTTGACACATAATTTCCAGAATAAAGTAGTTCACATTTTCTCAAAGTGACCTTCTCCTTTTGAAATTATGAAGACACAATGTCAGTGCAAGTATTAATTAGGCTAATTAGCCATTTAGTCTGAAGGTTATATAAAGGTTGCTAGACTTTCTGAGGACAGAGAAAACACAATAAACAACAAGTCAAATAATTGTAAATCATAAACTTAATGACATGGAAGAGATGCAAAATTTTTTTAACTGTGAAAATTACATCGATTTGACCTGATCTATTTTTGAATTCTTTATAATATACTCACATGATAATTTCTGATTCTGGGCACATCTCCATACATGTTCCTTGCATAGGATGTTCCTGCAAGTGTGACATTCTAAAACAAGAAAGTTAGATTACATTTAATTCAACTTTTCCTCTGTCTGAATGTCTAATGGTTTATAACTTCCTCTGAATTATGATGGAGATTATATCAGATTTTGATATGTTTTCGATTGTAACAATTGTGTATAGTAGTGGTGCAACTCGCAAGAAAAATGCTACTCGAGTAGAAAGTGTGAAAATGCCACTGTAATCAAGTAGTCTACCACTCGCAAAAATGAGGGAAAAATTTAAAAAAAATAAAAAACTCACCTAAGAAATTCTCCATCTAAAATGTCACTCGACTTTTTGGTGATTATGAGTCAAAGAAAGCATTCTTGAGTTTCAAATTGACTTCTGTGGTAACTTGAAACCATCTTCTAATTTATTCCACTTACCTTTTATTGTTTCTCCAAATATATTCTTTGAAAATCAGATTTTAAGGGTGTTAATCAGGGTAATTCTGTGCCATTTTATCAAAAATCTTGTTGCTATCTAGAAACGAGCAATTGTGATCTTGTTGCTACCTAGGAACGAGCAACTGTGATGTCACGTCACACTCATGTTAATTCTGGAATCACATGGCAGCCATTTTGGAAATTTCAAAAAAGTTCCCAATTAAAAAGGCTAAATGCTGTTTACAAATTGGAAACTATGGCAGAATCAACAAAGGGTTTGTGAAATAATTAGGATATGGTTTCAAAATTATGCACATGACAATATATGACTACTAAATGCAGGCAGGGACTTTTAATTGCCAAAAAGTCAAGTGACATTTTAGATGGAGAAATTCTTAGTCGACTGTTTGAAGACCAAATAGATACAATTTTTTTCGTTTCTTCTATATGTTATTGATGTTATATATAGTTTGTATCAATTTAGTGAGAATAAATGTAGTTATTCATGCCATAATTGTGTTTGTTTTTAAATATTTTCATTTTGTTTCCGGAATCAATACTTTGTTTCGTTCATTGCATACAAAAAAAATCATCATTCCCGGGGTTTAAAACACTTCATAATAAAACATGCCTACTCGAGTTTGAGAAAACGTACTCGAGTAACTATCTTGGACAGGTTCAACGAGTGAGTGGCGAGTACTGGCATTCGAGTTGCACCACTAGTGTATAGGCATGATTTAAAAGTATTTCCATAAAATCATATATTCATTGTAAATTTTAGGAAACATCCTGCAATGCTCCAAAGTTTGAAGTTGATTTGTTGATTAACAATTAAGCTTAGACCAATTTTACTTGTAAACTAAAAAAATAAATGAAGTAAAGCCAATGACTCAAAGGTAAATTAATTTTTGCCAATCTTATGTTATATTTTTTATGTATGAAGGCATGTGTCAATTTCCTTGCTTTTTTCAGGAAAGTATCATTACATTGTATTCTTTTAGAATATGTGGTAGGAGTTCAATGGGAACTCCAGAAAATTCCGATATTTCACACTTTCTATTTTTCCAAATTTTCTTTCATAGTTTCCAGACAACACAGGAGCTACCATTGACCTGTTTCCAGGTTTACTAAAAGTAGACAGTGTAATAATACTTTCCTGGAAAAAGCAAGGAAATACACACATGGCTTCATACTTAATTTTGTACCAGAAAATAACATGTGCAGGTAGAGGAATTTTTTACCAAAATGTTACTTTCCAGCTGAACTTTAAAGATTTCTATGTTTATATGTCGGTCAATAGCGCTTGCGCGAATGTTTATTGTACAAAAAATATCCGACTTGAAATAAATATCGATATGATATACGAGGGTGATCAATAAATAATGGACGCTTTTTTACACACATGCTTTTTATAGACCAATCCATTCGATGTTCTTACCAGTGATACATCATTCAATTATCTATCAACTCTGAAGATTTGAAAACAAAACATGTAATATATTTTGATATATCTTTATTTCCGTGAAGGAGGTACAGGTACCCCGGGACCGACATGACGTCAAACATTCTGAAGCTATTTTAGCTTGTTTAACATGCAACATAGTTGAATGCAGGCTGAACACACCATGATGGTCATGCATTACCCCCATTTTGTTATGCCATAACATGTATTATATATTTTGTCTTCAAATCTTCAGAATTGATAGATAATTGAATGATGTATCACTGGAAGGAAAATCAAAGGGATTGGTCTATAAAAAGTATCTGTGTAAAAAAGCGTCCATTACTTATTGATCACCTCTCGTATATGATATATCTTCTAAACGGATCCCTGTGTGATTGTGAATCTGAGTAAATAGTAGATTTGTGAGGAGCGGGCGATAATGTAAAAACTTGGCTATAAATCTTAACATTACTTGTATGTTAACATTTTAATTGAAATAAATTCATTCATAATAGTTTAATTTGGTAGAATTATACAAACAGAACTGATATTTACCCGATATACTAATAATTAAGGTACAAATCATAAATATATCAAGATAAAATAATCAAAACAGTTAAAACAGGAAGCACTGCGAAGGTGTGAATTGCGGATATCTTTTCGAATATCCGGTAGAGTCGTAATAGTACCATTCTTTTTTCAAAGATGGCAGCACAATTAAACATGTACGCACAAGTGTCAGAATAGAACAAGTGTCAAATGGAGCCAATGGACGTAACGGACCTAGGATGAAGAAACTTGAACGGCCCAAAAATTGTAAATGAACTCATGGCGAATAAAAGAAAACATTTGAATGGAATCCAAGGCCGACCTCGGGAAACAAACCCCAGATATCCATTTAACATAGCCTAATCCAACTTAAAAACAAACAATATATGTTTCACCTGCGCAGAGCCGATCATGGTGGGGGAGGGGTGCGATGGCGGGAGCGTGGCAATTGTTATTTTTGAATTGCAGTTACCCTTATCTCACTTCGACTGGCAAGTAGAGAGCCCGGGTCACAGAGGCTTGTAGTAGACTAGATTTTTCCCGTCTATTTGAAATCCATGAGCTTGTCCGAAGGATTTTCCAAGGGAGGGCGATGCATCATTATGAGGTATCACGGCCTTTTATTAGTTTCATCCTAAGCTTGGTATTTCTGGTTGAAGACAGAAAGATGTGATGCGTATCAGAATGGCGATGCATAGGCCTACGGTTGGGTTGCCCCCCACACACACACCAGGCGCGCGGGACGCCGCTCTATCGGACTGAGAGCCGATTTGATATTTTTGGGGATAAAAAACACTCTATCTGGAAAAGTGGTTTTGAAGGACTTCATGTTTGAAAAATAGTGAATTGGTACAATACTATTTAAAACATAATATTTTCTTCCTTTTAACTTGGTAAGTTACAAAATAAATTGAGTGAATCTTGAAACCGGATCTGCTCCTCCTCATTGACAAAATAAGGCCATAATTGAGGATATTGAAAAGACGCGGAATGGATCCATCTTCGTCAACTTCGCATCGAAATAACTATTGATGATGTTTTTGCTAATATATAAGAAAACATACAAAAATGTACATTCACGTTATGTAAACCATAGATCAAGAATTGCCGATATTTTGACAATGATAGGTCATTAAATTATTGATATTGATTCTAACTTCAGTTCCTTCATTACTGCGCGTTCGATGAGATAAGATCTTCCACTTAAAAATAAAACATTATTATATATAATTCTCCTCTATGTCTTACACATCAAAATTTGTGGGTCAAAATTAATTTATTTCTGGTAGGATCGTCCTTTCTTTACTACTTGATTCTGTCAAGGGTGTATACTTTAGTTTAATATACAGGGCGTCCACAAAAAAGTATACCCAACTTCAAATCCAAATTACTAGAATCCTAAGCAGTTTTTATAAAATACAAGGTAGTAGTAAAAAGCCTGATTTATTCTCCATCAAATGGTACCAAGATCATTATGTAACTGTCATGTATCACCGAGCAATCTTGACCATTATGAGAGGAGATAAAATTAGCACCATGCCAAGTTACCCTCCTGTGTGGCAATTGATGTGTAAGACTTATTCTTTTTCTGTTACGATTAAGTTAGAGGACAGGCCTTCCATACTGAACTTCTTTCTTTTGAACACAAAAAAACATCCACTGTGTCATTCCTACTTGAATGCTAACTTGGCACACCTTTCATAAAAGTCATGATTGCTCAGTCATCCATGGCAGTTACATGATGATCAAGGTACCATTGCATAGAGGACAAACTAGGCCTTTTACTGCTACCTTCGTATTTTTTGAAAATTGCTCAGAATTCTCTGGCTCTGAAGGCATGAACTTGGTGTAAGACCACACGAAATTTAGTGTATTATATGTATAATATAATATAAAAGTATATATTATAATATTATTAAATGGCGTATTATATATATAATATAATATAATATAAAAGTATATGTTATATATATAGTTATGTATTATATTCTTGTAAATGTGTATATGCATGTATTTATTTATATATTTGTCTCCTCTGGTCCCCAGTCCCCAGTCCCCAGTAGTTATATATATATATATTTATATCAGTCCCCAGTCCCTCCTTTATATATGTTTGTGCATATGCATTTACATGTATTTATATATTTGTCTCCTCTGGTCCCCAGTCCCCAGTAGCTATATATATATTTATATCGGTCTCCAGTCCCTCCTTTATATATGTTTGTGTATATGCATTTACATGTATTTATTTATATATTTGTCTCCTCTGGTCCCCAGTCCCCAGTCCCCAGTAGCTATATATATATTTATATCGGTCTCCAGTCCCTCCTTTATATATGTTTGTGTATATGCATATACATGTACTTATTTATATATTTGTCTCCTCTGGTCCCCAGTCCCCAGTAGCTATATATATATTTATATCGGTCTCCAGTCCCTCCTTTATATATGTTTGTGTATATGCATATACATGTACTTATTTATATATCTGTCTCCTCTGGTCCCCAGTCCCCAGTCCCCAGTAGCTATATATATATTTATATCGGTCTCCAGTCCCTCCTTTATATATGTTTGTGTATATGCATTTACATGCATCTATTTATATATTAGTCTCCTCTGGTCCCCAGTCCCCAGTCCCCAGCTACTTTATATATAGGATAGGTTTTTTTGAAAAACAATTTTGACTTTAAAGCCCTATAACTTTGTTACACTTTAAGAAACATATCAATTTTTGTTAAAAAAAGTTATCAAATTCAATTGCCTGCCTAACTCGTATTTTTGCAAGGACTCAGATGGATGGATATTCTGTCATATGACTTGCGGCAAACCTACCATTTCCCATTGGTTAACATGGGAATGTCGATTTTAAAAAATTCATCAAATTTATCATCGATTTTCGACTTGTTGTAATTGAGGAAAAAAATTGAGAAAATTTGGTAATCATGGGGGGCTTTAAAGTCAAAATTGTTTTTAAAAAAAACCTCTCCTATATATATATAGTAACTGGGGACTGGGGACTGGGGACCAGAAGAGACTAATGGCCTAGTCATATAGCCCGGCCGATGAGGTTACGATGAGCCAGCGATGCAATTTTCACCGAACTCGGCCGAACACCGGCCGGACATCCGTGGCGTTTGTTGCTTAAAACCGCATCGGTGGTAGCTCGGTGAAATTTTAACTTCGGAGTTAAATTTCACCGGGCTCTCACCGAGCTCCTTCATCATGTCATCGCAGCCCCATCGTAACCACATCGGAAAACACGTCGGCCGGTGCACGGCCGAGTATCGGCCGGTGTCCCGTGCATCTGAGACAACCAGAGGACGAGGTTTTTTAACGGACAGCGGCCGAGCTCCGACCGAGCTCCGGCCGATGTGGGACAGAGCATCGGCCGGTCACTGTTCAAAGCCCGTTAACAACCCGGCCGGCGATCGCACGGTGTCCTGTTACCTGCTGGGGAACCGGCCGTATTCCTTCCGATGTCCGGCCGACCTCCGGCCGGTAGTTGCTGTCACATCGGCAGAAAAAAACTACCATTTTGAGACAGACTCCGTACGGTCACCGGCCGGTGTTCGGTCGGTCGCCTGAAGATGTCCGGACGGAGTCCGTTCACGTCACCGGGCTCTGCTTCCGATGAGGAGAGCTCGGTGGCACCAAAAAAATCCACCGAGCTCTACCGATGCCGGACATCGGCCGGGCTATGTGACTAGGCCATAATATATAAATAGATGCATGTATATGCATATACACAAACATATATAAAGGAGGGATTGGAGACTGATATAAATATATATATAGCTACTGGGGACTGGGGACTGGGGACCAGAGGAGACTAATATATAAATAGATGCATATATATATGCATATATACAAACATATATAAAGGAGGGACTGGAGACCGATATAAATATATATATAGCTACTGGGGACTGGGGACTGGGGACCAGAGGAGACTAATATATAAATAGATGCATATATACAAACATATATAAAGGAGGGACTGGAGACCGATATAAATATATATGTAGCTACTGGGGATTGGGGACTGGGGACCAGAGGAGACAGATATATAAATAAGTACATGTATATGCATATACACAAACATATATAAAGGAGGGACTGGAGACCGATATAAATATATATATAGCTACTGGGGACTGGGGACTGGGGACCAGAGGAACCAAATATTAATAAATACATGTAAATGCATATGCACAAACATATATAAAGGAGGGACTGGAGACGGATATAAATATATATATATATAACTACTGGGGACTGGGGACCAGAGGAGACAAATATATAAATAAATATATGCATATACACATTTACAAGAATATAATATATAACTATATATATAACATATACTTTTATATTATATTATATATATAATAAGCCATTTAATAATAATAATACAACTATATACAATATAATAATATAGTATATAATATATACTTTTATATTATATTATACATATAATACACTAAATTTCGTGTGGTCTTACACCAAGTTCATGCCCTTTGAAGTTGGGTATACTTTTTTTTGTGGACGCCCTGTACTAGTATATAGTACCATCAAAATAAAAATAGGTTTCATGGGCTATATAAAATATCAAAAATTGAATTATTCACCCCAACGTTTGAATGATTTAAAAAATGTGTCTGTTTTCTCAAGTTCGAACTTTTCAAAAATGTTGCCAAAAAAGTTGAAAAACAGCATGATTTTATTCAGTAGTCTTGCTTCAGCTCGCACCCCTCGAACCCCTCCCCGGTTAGTGTCTACGGGGCCTTGAGTATACATGGTGTACAAACCATGTACTATTACTCTAGTATAAAAATATTACGCCCCGTCTACCCCCTTGTCTTCCCTATTATCTATGTCAAAAATTGTTCAAGAAGAAAGATGATGTTAAAACGGATATAAATTAGATGGGGCGTTTATTGTCCAAGAATAAATATTTTAAAACTCGTGGCAAATGAAGAAAAGCAAATAAATTCAAAATAAGCATCTTTTATCCGATACTACAAAAATAACATCTTTCAGTATGAACTGCCCAGATAATAATCCTAGGATGATAAACCAATAGTTTTTATGAATGAATTGTGGTTGTAATATTTTCCCGCGAAGTTATTGCGTTGGCCTGACCTTAAATTGATACAGCATTACATTTTGTAGAGTTACTCCCTTTTAAAAGACATTGTCAAATTTAAAACCTAAGCTGAAATACGATCTTATCCCCTATTCTAATCATTTATGAATAATTCAATTTTTTTTGATAGTAAAAATGAATCAATTTCCAATATTTATCAAAATGTGATCAAAATTGAATTAACGATAATCTATCAGATGGAGAGTAAGTGCAATACAAGAGACCCGCGCGGATTTGTTCTGTTAAAAGGTGGTAGTGCGGTTCAATGGGGTATCAATGCGCGAAATATGTGAGAAAGAACGGAAAGGATGACCAATACAACTTATGGATAATATGTAAATATTCGCTTGCATGGCGTCGTTGTCCTACTATTTCGAACTACTATGTACAGTAGTGGTTCTTCTTCTATATGCTAAAGGTAAGCATGCCTTTTATTCTCTATATAAACAACTAAATTGACCTAGTTTTTCCGAATGTTTTGACCATACTCAAAATATAACATGGCGGATGAAACCGTGTTGTCCCAATAAGGTCACGGAGTGAAACAAAATGTTCTTTGATTTCCGATCCATCTGAACGACCCTAAATGACAATTCAAATGAAAAACGATGAACTTATACGTTTGAAAGTTTTCAAATATGTTTTCCTGTATTGGGATCCCAAGTTTAGTATTTGCTAATCGAGGTAAAAAGAGTGCATAAAATGTACCGGATTTGATTCTTCTAAAATGACCATATCTTTGTCTAATCGGAATGTTGTTTCCTGTATATATTCTTCATGTTAGTGTAACTTAATGCACAATATAAACAAACACTTTATTTGTTCGGAGTGGCTCCAGGACCGACAATTGTCGGTACTGGAGACTGTCCAGGGGTATTTGCTGGGGTACCGACAATTGTCGGCGCTCTATCGTCAACTAGTAGTGCCAGATAGAGAACCGACAATTGTCGGTACGCAAGTGGCTGCTACGTGTTTTTGCTAGAGAGCCGACAATTTCATAAATAAATCCACTACTTTTACTTTTAGAAAAAACCTTATCACTGGTAGTCTAGTGGTTAGCGAGCACGACTCGAACATACTCGGTCCCGAGTTCGAATCCCGGCAAGATCTTCTTTTTTTCTTTTGAGGGGGGCATAGTGCTTCTTTTGCAGTATGGAATCGTACAGGAATTAACTTGTAGTGAGCCATAATTTATTTCGACTAAAATTTATTCAACTTCCATCAAAATTGTCCTACAAGCTTCAATTAAAAAAACATTTTAAAGCTCTTTTCTTGTTCTATCTAATGGGTCGATATATACAGTTAGGGGAGGGGATGCTTTCGCCCCCGTCACTCTCTACCCTTACTACGCCATGGCACAGGAGAAATATCTCATTTCGAATATATCACTGTTTACTTTGCGTTTGCTAGCTCTCTCATGCGAGATGGAATCGTGGCCATTAACTAAGGGAGCCAAATGCATCAAAAATTGTGCTATAAGGTATGAGTACCGTAATCCAACACCAAATTCGAAAATTCATAACAATACTTGCACATATGGCGTTCGTGATCAACTATAAAACGCTTACCCACCATAGTGTTATATATCAAAATGCACCTGTCCATATAGGGGTTCGATTGACCTACATCAAATTATAGGGAGTCAGGTTACTTTTTGAGATATCAGCGTCCGTTTATTGTAATTCGCGTTTGCTACCACTTCCTCAATTCTGATATGACGGGCAAACGCGTAGTAAACATGCTCACGTTCGGAACTATTTTGACCTACATCGCTATTTTCGTAATTCAAATGAAAGTTGAACTCCTCTTTATTTTGATACCAAATAGTGGCACACTAGGTACCCTAGAAGCCAACTATGGGTTATTTAGAACGATACCACAGGTTTTTAAATGGACTATATAGGGGTCATACCTTTTGGCGGATGGATATGGAACCTCATACCATAAGCTTCAGATAAAAAACATTCTAGCTATTTTCTTCTATCTAATGGGTAGCAAACTCCCCTTTCTATGCCTGATCGGCTCAGGAGAAATATCCTGTCTGTTTAGAATATATATAGCCGTTTACTCTGCATTAATAGCTCTCTAACGTCTTACTTGTTCATGTTTTTTATTGGGCCTTTCAACGTTTACTACCATTCCCTGTTCCCGGGCTACCATTTTTGACTGGGTTTGGTAATCCCCGGGTAATCGGGGCTAATGCCCTCCCCGGGTTTTGCACTTGTTCCCAAAATATCCGTATGATATCTGAAATATCCCCCCGCGCATTGCGCATGCGCCAGAAAATTCGAAAATCAATATTTGTCGGTCCTCTAGCGTGTAAACACAGCATATCTCCCGTACCGACAATTTATTTGTCGGTCCTCTAGCGTGCCACCACATCAGTGTCTAGAGTACCGACAATTGTCGGTACTCTAGCCTTTACGTTATTTGTTTACTTTGTTTTGATTACAAAAGTACTATAATAATGACCTTGATTTAGATACACAGAAGTGACAAGTTCCCAGAGTTCTTTGCTCTATAAACTAGCCTAATATGGCCTTATTTTACTTCCTGCGAAAGCTATTTGGATTTTGATATAATAGCTTTCCCACGGAGCATTTGGACAGCTCAACGATCGTGACCTTTGAAATCGAATTAAGTCGATCCGCGGCTTACTTTTGGTCTCTAACTGTGTCTTACATCAGTATCATCAATCCGTGTAAGTATTGGAGCGCTGGAGTACTTCTTTTTCGATCAAGACTTGTAATTCGTTAGTCGAGTGAATCGTTTTACTGCCAAATTCCAATATGGCGGTTTCTGCTCGGACATTTTCGTAAATCTCCGGAGGTTGTCCGAACCTAACTAATTCTCAAAATTCATTTCGTTCGTTGCGTATCTCGCACCTAGCAAACCGCCATATTGGAAATAGGTCTGTAAAACTTTAACTCGATGAACAATTTACAAGTCTTGATCGAAAAAGAAGTACTCCAGCGCTCCAATACTTACACGGATTGATGATACTGATGTAAGACACAGTTAGAGACCAAAAGTAAGCCGCGGATCGACTTAATTCGATTTCAAAGGTCACTATTGATCAGCTGTTCACTTCTCCGTTTGAGAGCCATAAGTTTCAAAATCTAACATGGCTCTCGAAGTGAGTAAGCCTTATTATCATCAACATTGATCATTTCTGGTTTAGATAGTGTCATAGAATTAGTGATGCTAACAGGGCAATGACTAGTCTATATCCAATAGACTGAATTTCAGACTAGAGGATATAGTCTAGCAATGTCCTGCAAACCTAATGCAGAAAAAGTAAGGGGCGGGATTTAAAGTTTTCATAACTTGAAAATACATGGGGTTATCCAGTAGAAGGACAGTGTTGGAGTGATGTCCACCCATTAGATTACGATTTGGTAGTTTGGGGCATGTCTTTCACACTTTATCGTATCCTACCGACCACTTTAGATTGTGGTCGTACGCCCGATTCATTGGTAGGCCCGTACTGTCTTTCTACAATGTCGGAGAATGAACTACGCATTGCACTATTAAATGACCTACCTCGATACATTCCAGAGTATTTTAGAATTCTTTTTATGTTGTTAGATCGCCAATTGTATGGGTTTATCGGTAGAACGAAGAGATTTTAGTTTTTACATCGGAAATATGTCAACAATTTTCAAAATGTCAGAAGGGGAATTCCCCAGGGATTTCCCTTATGACTGGTACATGCCGGGAACTGAATGGAGGAATTTGACGGTTGAAATAAGTTAAATATTACATGCAAATATTGCTATCAAAAATGAAAATATCTTTTTCATTTTGTCATATGATCAACAAATTGACACCTTTACAATTACATAAGTGTAACATCTCTGTGATCTCCCCAGGATTTTTTCTCAAGTGGGTGCAAAATTCCCATTTTCACAATTCAGAGCAAAATTGGTCTAAACATGCCAACTTTTCATGATTTTTCTCATTTTCAAGTTGATGCAAATAGATTTTTAGGTGGGTGCAAGGCTGTTTTTCAAAATTTCAAGTGGGTGCTGCGCCCACTTGCTTTAATGTTGGGGAGACCACTGCATCTAATAGTTAGTACATTTTTAAACAGACATGAACAACACCTCCCAATGAAAAATGTCTTACTGGCTGACAAGGATTACATTGTTTTACATACATGTAACTTAATGCTGTTTTCCAAGCATCGAAGCAATCATGATGACACTGATCTAGATTAACTTATATTGACTGAAATTCACATAGATTGATTACTTTTTGTTAAATTTTATATTGACACTATACTATATCTTCATTGTTCAAAACAAGATAAAACTATCATATGTACATTAATTCAACTATGTCCCTATCCATGATTTTATATGACAGATTTGCCAGTCTTTGAATCCTTCCCTTTTGATTCTTAACTGCGTCATTCATATTAATTTCGCCTGTAATTGTCAGATTAATTCATTATGACTCGATAATTCAAATAAATGGTCAGTCGAAATGAGCTATTTTTATAGGCATGAGCATCAAATGATACAATAAGAATAATATCAGTTGATTGTAACTAATCAGAGAACATCCTATATATCATAATGCCATCTTTTCATAAATTGTATTTTACATAATCCTTCTTTCTATACATATCAATCTTGAAAAATATTCAAATAGGAACTGAATTGAATTGAAATGTTAGAGCATAATTTTCTACTCAATGCTGCTTACTCGGTTTAAACAATTTTTCAAGGTTTGATATTATAAAAAAAAGTTTGTATCAAAGTCTGGCACAAGTTAACAAACTAAAAATGTTAAAGTTGTTAACAGATCACAATAATTCAGAGACTGTCTTGGATATCATATGTAAATCTAGAAGATTTTTACAGACTTCGTTATGATTATATTATCTTCTGTGACAAGTGAAAAATGAAAATGCACCTAAACGTCATTCTGATTTATCAGAGTCCCTCTTTACCTAACGCTTTTGAGAACTATTCCAAAAGGATAGTAAAGGCTGTGGATCCCACAATGCCTAAACGTTAATAAATGGGACAGTTCAGTCTAAAACTAGAGCAGCTGGGAATTTACTATGTGATTGCCTGAAGATCATGTACTGGAAGAAATAGAATTATTGATCTGATATAGCCTGGTTCTGAAATGAGTTGGCACAACGCCAAATTATTTTATGGTTTTCTTGAGTCGTGTCTTGGAGTCATTTATATATTGGTTTATAACTAAAATTGACGAAAATAGATTGGTTTTACATCTCAAGTTAGCAGGGTTTTGGTCTTCCATTTATGTTAATTGTCTTATCCATAGGTTAATGTCGTGAAGATAGCTTGAGTATTTAGGCCATATATTTATTGTTCTCCAAGTCTTTACCTGAACACAGTATGGCATTTTCAAAAAGTAATAGCATGTTCATCTATACTGATC